TGACTCTGGAAAAAAATCGAAAACGTAACGTATTGCACCCGAAAAAAACTTAAAAAGTCGCCATTTACCCCATAATAATAATATTATTAACCAGATTCCGGGCTTAGGGCCCAGAAAAATTATTGCGCACGCACTCGGAAAATTTGTGATCAATGTCATGGGCATAATAATAATAATAATAATAATACTGACGTATCCGCTGCGCTGGTAACACATTTTGACACAGTTAAGTAATAGTAATATAATAGCCCTTATGATAGAACACAATGGGCACTCTGTTATAGTTGTTTTGTAAGGTGACAGCTTTTAAAGTACGTCCAACTATAATGCTAAAAGACTGATCAAGCATGAATCGTCCCGTTGCACAATTCTAATCAATCCCTAGTTTACGATTTCCTTCACCTACCCAGACTGGTAACTTACTTTCTGTCATTCTTGTAGATGGAAATTCATTATTATAACTCGGTATTCGAGATAATAGTGTCAGACTAGACACGGAATCGCGTACATTGTCCGTTCGTGGAATGTTGCCAAAGCGATAATCGCCTTATGTAACAAATTATGAATTATTCGAAAGAGTTTCCTTCTGTACTTTCGTTACAGACATGTGATGGATAGACATTTCTCGCAATGTTCAAGCGTAATATAATACGGTATGAATTTATTAATATAAGACATGTATTAATTGGGCATATCATTCAATCATATTATCTATACCAGCATCTGTATCTGCCATTACTTCGTCCGCGTTGCCACCAGTCAGATCCAACATTGTTTTGAAAGCGCCAAGCATTGCAGTGACTTGGATTTTCTCCGATGCGCCCGTAGTAAGTCGATATCTGCAAGCAGAACAGAAAAATCGAGTTGAGCCTTTATATGACATCGGCGAAAATTAAACATTTTGTCGTTCGGACCATATGTTTCACTTACTCTATCTCTGCGAGTTTTTCCAAGAGATACACTCTAGCTTTTTTACTTAATTTGTATTTTACAACGTCTTTGTATACTTCGAATATCACATCTTGCAATGCAAGGCCTTTTTCTGTTTTAAGTCGCATAATTTCTTTGATCGAACGAAATATGTTAGATTGTCTTTTCAGTATACGAGTAAATATACGGAGAATAAACGTACTCGAATATGCTGTTGTAAACTCCTCTTTCATCATTGTTCTCAGAATATAATGTATGTCTGTAGGTAATGGATTTCCAGTACAATTATATACCGCTGCTTCGTCAGTGAGATCGTATGCTGCGTGACAGGCCTAGGTGAAACCCACAGAATTTGTACTTTGGTGTCAAAGAAATGGTAACATAATTCCTCGGATTACTATCGCACATACTTGAAGAATATTCAGAGCACGTCTCATATCTCCATTCGATAACGTCAATAGGGCTTGTTTTCCGTCTTCTGTTATATTCACACTATTAAACAAATCCAGCATAAATCCACTTCTCTCCTAGAATCTAGCAAATGTCATATCATGTCAACTTCGTTACGTACCCCTCCGTCTCAATTACAGTTTCCAGTCTCTTCTTGACCTGATCCATCTCTAACGGCGAAAATCTGAATCGCGTGCATCGAGATTGTAATGCTGGAATTATCTTACTGACATAATTGCATATAATACAGAAACGGACATTTTGGGTATATTTCTCAACAACTGTAGAAAGCAATAGCAAGCAATTAGTGCAAAGTCAGAGTGACAAGGCAATGAGGATGAGCTTACTTCGTCGAAGGGCATTCTGTGCTTGTGTAGTCATTGCGTCGGCTTCATCAAGTATTATTAATTTGAATCCTGTACTGTTCAAAAAGCGAGTGTTTTGGTGGATAAGCGGTCATGTTGCATTGTGGCGCCGAAAAGGATAAATTTGTATGCACTCACTTGAAAATCTTTCTCGTGCTTGCGAAAGTTTTTACTTGTTCTCTTACTACATCGATTCCTCTTTCATCTGATGCATTTAACTGTATTATTGCATAAAACGATGGTTTGAATATACTTATTTCGCAAACTCTCTATAATGGGGTCTGTTACTTACCTCCATTATCATTGACTTCCATTGCGGTCCATATAACTTTCTTGCGCAAGCTAGTATTGTTGAGGTCTTGCCTGTCCCAGCTGGGCCATATAGTAGTAGATGTGGAAGGCGACCTTCGTCGATAAACCTCTCGACTTATAAACAATGTCAGCAGACTGTAACGATAACTAAATATGTCGATAATGCACTCACTTACTAGTTTCAGTGATTTCCTTATGCGAGACAAGGTCATTCAACGTCTGAGGGCGATATTTTTCTACCCTTTTTACAGATCAAATAACCGTTAAAATGAATAAATATAAGCACGAGACAAAATTGCGTCATACCATGGCAAAGTATCTTCTCCCGGAGGCGATGGCTCACTAGTCATATCAGATTCCTATTACGCGCAGGTTGTCAAAAGCTCTACATTCTCGCGATGATCCTTGATGTCACTACGCGATCGTATCGAATCACGTGATTGTGCCGTAATTGGCGCAACAGTTAAAAAGGGCAACCTAACAATGTAGCAATGAAGGATCAGGGTCATTTGCCGCATTCTGAAAGTTAAAAATAACACGGTGGTAATAACACTAGTGTTATTACGTCATTATGCGCTTAATACTGTTGAATGAGGATAAAATGGATGGCTGTGAAGTATGCTTCTTTTTCTATTCTTGGTTATCCAGGCTTTTTTTGCTAATGTTCGTTTGTTGATTAAGCAATTATTTCTTTCTCGAGATCTTGATTATCAAAATTATGGAGCAGTCTTTCTCTTCATAGCCATTAGCAGTTGTCTAGTATAACTATTGCATAATTATTTCTTCTCGCTGCGCAAGCAATATAGGCGAATAAGTCTTCCCAATTACCGAATTTATCGACGCTTCTATAGTTCTCTCACGAGTTTGTGATGGCAAGTTTAGTGACAATAATAAGCCAATGCGCAGAAACTATGTTGATTCGAATGGTACACTGTAGTAATAGAACTTTGTTACTATGGAATCTCATTATAAAAGAACCTTTTTTGTAGCAGATCATACATTTTATTATGGAAACTCGTGCTATCATTGGTTGTGCCCAGCTTTCTATTATAACGGGCTTCGACTGTAACGGAAATGAGAATAGTCGACTTATGGAGATAGGACTGTTGTACCTCAGTTGGGGACTTGTCTCAGTTCTGGACTGAGACAACTGAGTTCTGGACTGAGACGGGTCCACAACAGGGCTAAGAACCAGCCGCAGATAATGACATTTGTTCTAATGATTTAACAATAAATAATATATATATTCCCTGATTTGCACCTAAGTAGATTTGTATGTATATAATGAGAACGAATAAACGTTTTTTTTTACGGTCTAATCCCAAAGCAAGCGTCGGTCGTGGTCGAGTACCGTAGATTACTGAATATAATACCCTGGACATATCGGATACTGTGTGCGGAGAGTGATACTTTTACGTCCATCGGTAAATGAGTTGATTTTTAATTACAATTGTAAATAGTTACTATGAACTCAGAGACAAGAAAGTATTCCGTTCGTTAATAACAACTATATAACCATTGATGAAAAAATCGTTGAATGTAACAAAAAACCCGTAATAATCAACGCGCCAACTTCATGGACAATGAATTTTGAATTATCCGTTATATACAATTACCTTGGCGGGGACTTCGTTTATATTTGGGATTCGTTTAGTTTCGATTTTCAGTATTCTTAGTGTACGATTTACTATTTTTACGTCAAATCTTACGTGATTTACTGCACGTAGATTTACTGAATTGGTCAATGATTAATGAATATTCAACTGTGACTGTTAGTCTGTCAATAATAGTAATGTGTACCGGATCTTTGAAGAATAATAAAGCTAGAGGTAACGGGTTAATCAGCATAGGCTAAGCGAGAAATTTACTTCGCACAAAAGCAGAATTATTAATATATTGATGTACCTAATATGAGCTTGTGTATTAAAGATCGGCAAGTACTACCGTTAAACTGAATAGATACAGTATTAGTGAAAGGCGAATAAGTTATTCTTTTGATAATGAGTTCTTGACAGCAATTTATGTTAACAGTATCGGGTGTAAGATATCACTATACTGCGTATTCTCACACTAGACTACTTATCTTCTTTCCGCTCCCTAGTAATATTCCATGAAGACTACATACTGGCGCCCCTTCGCAATCCTGTTCCTCTTCCTTCTTACATTCCACCTGTCTTTCTCTGCTTTGGTAGACATCGACTTGCTGGCACCAGTGATAATTGGAGGAGGAATACAAATTCAATACTCTGTATACAGAGAGCTTGGTTATACTTATGAAATCACAAACCTCACAATACTCCTCAAGCCACTTTCTGGATCCTCCACTCCTTATACGATCGCAAGCACGGCTCCACTCTATAGCCTGTCCAATACCAATATGACAAATACAGTCAATTACACACTTCCGCCCGAATCGTTTGGTAATTCATACAACATTGAATTCATTGAGCTATATCGAACGCTAGCAACCGGAGTGATGAGTACTGCGACTGTAGATGTGCGAATAGATATTCCGAGCAAAACGCAGCCAAAAACGAGTATAAATTCGAATGGGGAGACAATTGTTGTATCGACTCTCATACCTGCGTCAACGACAGTATTTACTACTACCGCAGATGGACAAACTCAGGTTTACACGTCTACGGTGCCGGCGAGTGTGATGACAGTTACTGTTGGGGCCCCCATAACGAAAAGCACTGGTCAACCTAAACCTACAAATAGCGGAGGATGCAGGGTTCGGGAAGGCAAGACATTGATATGGACGATGATGAGTGTTTGGTTAGGATATTGGGTGACAAGATGTTTATATAGCAGGCTTTCTATTTAAATATGTGAGATATAATATTATTAAAAGGTGAAGAATATGGGGGGGAAGTTTAAATAGACTATTTCTGTATTATTATCGGCAATAATAACACAATTGACGATCGATATTAGTCGTGACGTCACAAGCTGATTATATATGGTCAATGCAACATCACTACTTTTTTGAATATAGATGGCCATCCGCTACTAATACTAAAATCAGAAACCCCGTTCCCAGCTTGTGTGAGCGACATGACGCTAAATCATCGCCTGCATTGAAATAAGTTAATCGAGAATTTTAAGATCACTGTTTAGGGCGGCAAGGAGGCTCTGGCAAGCATCATTTGTCGTTATTTAAACTCTTTCTCATATATCAATGTGTCACAAAAAAAAGTGGGTTGCAAACACGTTCTTTGACTAATAAATAAAACACGCGTTGTCTACATGTCAAATGCATAATTGTTTGTTTTCTATTAAAAAAAAAAGATTAATTGTTTCATTGTCTTTAAAAAAGCAATTTAGAAATATGTCTGTTGAATTTAATAACATGATGAAGGCAAAATTTGAAGACAATATTTCCCTGCGTACAATCTTTTATTTTGCACTGTTCTAGTCGAATTATTGCTTTGTACCGATATCGACAGGAGTTGGAACAATTCTCTTTCCATTCTTGTTCTTTTTTGTGGCAATGTTTTAATTGTGTGAGCGCACTTCAATGTCAGAGAAATCATACTCGCTTACAGCAAGCACAGCGTGGAGTGATGCATCAGCCACAGTTTTTAGCTTCAAGTGGATGGATGAATGTTTGTGCGGGATCGGAAATACGACGAGAATGGCATATTATAATAATTTTAGTACAACTCATTAGTATTCGATATATGTATATGATACTATTTACCACAGAACAAACGCTTGTCTCGAAATATTTATTGCCTTTTATAAAAAGATTTCGGAATCCTGGTAATCTGCTACCTCAACATTATCAGCAGACTTATCTTCTCTGTTTTACTTGCAGGTGTCGTCAGTCCATTCTGTTGTGTGGAATCCCCCACACAGCATAGTGTTATTAATAGATATCAGAAATCTCGCATAACGTGAAATGACTCTCATCGGACAAGAACCTTGGCTTGTATTAATCTTGGCTTAGATAAGAAATCTCGTACAATTGCCCCGAGTTCGATGCCATTAATCAGAGATACTGTAATTATCAATGGTAAATAGTAACGTGACATATAAAGTTCTAAATTATAAAAAAAAAAAGAATAGTAACGTGACACTTGCTTAAAAACATACTTTTCAGAAAAATCACTGTTCAATTTACGACCAAATACAGTAAAAAGAAAGCATTATAAAAGTGTCAGATAAGATACCGTATATAAACAATAAAAAAGCAATAGAATGTTTTACAATCTTTCTGATGTCAATATCTCTCACGTTTTAAAATAGTTATTCGCATTTTAAGATAGACACAAAAGTAACCCATAGAGTTAGGCTCTCTTGTAAACCGTCCAGAGACCGTCTTTGTCTGAGTAATTTCTTGATTAGCCAAACTACAGTTTTTCGAGATAATACAACACTTTGGGGGAACTAACGGGTTTAACCATGAACAAGACTTTGATTTATACAAAAGTGATTGTAAATGTCAGTTATTTCGCATCTCATAAAAGATAGTAGGTTATGGAAAAATGAGATGTAACAGAACTGACTGTACAGTGTTGTAATTTAGAGTATTGCGTGATTACGATACACTCTGCGGAATATTCACAAGCGAGTGCTGAACTCAGACACGAGACCATATTATTGGTGAAGAAAATAGAAAACTAGAGCTTTTAGCTTTTTAATAAATCCTCCTAACTAAATATTGAACTTTTTTTAACACACTGTATATTGTTTAGCCAGTTATGTTACTAATTAAATTTATAATATAATTGCGTGCTATAAACTTGTAATTTTTTGTTAGTCAGAAGCATATAATATAAAATAATCTATATGGACTACATTATGGTTTGGGGGCGTTGGCCTAATGGATAAGGCATCAGACTTCGGATCTGGGGATTGTGGGTTCAAGTCCCATGCGCCTCGCTTTTTTTTTTTTTTTGTGATGCAATTATTTTATTTACTCTACGATTTTAGTATCGTTCAGTAGTTTTTATTATATAATTAGGAGCACATGGCGAAAGTAAATTAGTTTCAATCTAGCATGATCTCTTTAAATCCAAAAATTATAATGAGAGCATTCTTCGTTTTAAAACAGTCTTCGACATAGAGGACAACTTGTTGAATTTGACGTACGGAACCACTAAAATGGAAACAATCATCAGTTTGTGTAGGTAGATTTTTAGTTTGTAGGCAGTCAACCTGGAACTATATATATATCATTTACCTTGTAGAGACAAGCCGCATGGAATTTATTCTTGCAAGTAGAGCAAGTCTTATTCGGAAGACTTCTGTCCACATACGATACCACACTGTAACAAACAACACAATCATCTATACCTTCGAGATGGCTTTCGATATTGCGTTTGAATATGCTCAACGCGGCTTCTAAGTTGCCGTCCTGTGAAAGCTGAGTTTAATAATTTGCGAAAAACAGCTGATTGTACATCTCCTTCCCATATTTTGTATTACCTGAGAATTAACCAAAGTCTCGACTGGCAATCTACCCCAGACCAAATCCTTAACCGTTGCCATCCCCATCCTCTCAGCTCGTCCCACTTCAACTAATTTTAACGGAAAACTTCCCGGCATGCGCAAGCTCAGTTCTGTCACGCTTTCATCAATGTTTACCACAGCAATGACTTCATTAGTCCCACGGGAGATTCTTATTGAAAATTTATCATCTTGCAGCTGAGATTTGACATCTTCGCGTTGGAGATTGTCCAGCTGCTGTCTGATGATGATAGGACTGAAGTGTTTTTCGGTGTACAAATCGACTGCGATCGTGAGTTGCCGTTTTTTACAATATGTCCACCAATTGCGGACGAGCGATGGAACATGAACAAGAGAGAGATAGTAGATATGGGCGGAGAGGAGTGGGAAACCAAGGTCTGCGAAAAGGTCGATTTCAAAGGCTGTATAGTTTATATACATCGAACACATAACGTATTGCAATTAGAGATGTTTCTGTTGATAGCGCTACTATATGCAAATATCAGATACCTTCGACGTAGAATTCGGTGACATCCCATTTGGAAAGATCGTAAGGCGTCGATGGAGAGACAAGACCTAGTGCTTGGAATGTAAATGGTAGGAATCCTGATAATATATCCAATTCTTTCAACAATGTGATAAACTGCGATTTATATTTGTACGTCTATTGGTCACATGATATTATTACAATAATTAGAACGATCAACTCTATTGAATGACATAACAACACGATGAGAATGATAAGTTATTTACAGCATTCCTGAAATGATCAAAGAGCAGCAGTGCGGATAGCAAGTAGCCAAATGTGTGATGAACCGACTAAAACAAGCACTAGTGGTTAATATCTTGTTTGCATTATATACATATATATCACATGCAGAACCCCCCGAAATATTTACCAGTATTTCGCGATTACCGGTAAGTACTTTTATCAAATCACTTTCGTGCCCTCGCTTAATTAATGATACCAATGCCTCGTCGATCTTTGCTTCCACTGGAACCCTCGAATTGACTGCAAATGATATTAAATTCAAAAATGTTATTATTAAACAAAGGAATTCTCAACTAATCACGAGCAAACTCTTATTTGAGTACATCGACGTTTACCTCCAACGATTTCATTGATTTCCATTTGCTCAGACCTTCTTGCTACAGTCTCAGTGATTATGTCTCGAAGTAACAGATAAGTACATTTCTGCACGACTTCATGTGAGATATCAAGTAATTCATATAGCTAGTATATTGCAATCGAGTTAATCAATCTCATGTCAATGCAACTGCTGGCATTTTACAAATATTGATCTTAAAGTGTTGCTATTATCAAAAATGATAATACCTCTGTCGATTTCTCTTTAATGGCGCTCCTTGGTATACTATAACATGCTTCACTCAAAATATCGAGGTATGCTGAATATTGCTTGGAAAAAATAGTACTCGCATGTGCTGTACAAAGATACAATGTTATTGAACAAAGGATCGAAACGCGTAACGAATCATCACATTATCAAATATAGTTATCGTGATGTTAAACAGATAAATACCACGTTCTTGTAATAGATGGCTTATTAGGTAATTGCTTATTTTCTGTTCATGACTATGCAATGCATCTGATAGTGTAATCTCTGATCGAGCTGCAGATTTATCCTAAACAAATGGAAATATGATTAAGAATTATAGTATAAAAAAATTTTTTTTTTTTCATCACACAAATTTACTTGTCAACGACGAATACCTCAATATCGGCAGAAAATTTGCTCGCTGCGGCACTCAGTACACTTAACCTGTTAAACAAATTAATAGCTTCATACCGAAGAACCAAATCCCTATCATTCTGATACGGACGAGTAGATTTTAGCCAAAAGACCAAATTTATGAATCATACAGTAAACCATTTTACCTGCAGCCAGTCCTCAATGCGCGTAAATACGAACTCCCAATGCATCCCTGGTGATTCTTGTACAGTGTCGACTATCAAATATAGCAGTCTAGCTATACTGATCTGTGCATTGATATATTGAGACGTAGTCCCGTAATTTTCATACCATCTTCTAAAAGTGTTTATCAGAGTTAGAGCGTCATCTGGTCGCAGGAAATATGTATCAGACTTTTTCGTTGTGGCTACCAAAAGAGATAAGAGTGTATGACCTAACGAAGAAAGGAATAATTTTTAATAATGCAAATAATGACAAATTTATGTTCATCTTTATTGTTACCATTGCTCTCGTCCGAGTTATTATCAAATATGTCCGCCGCTTCCATGTCGTTTAATTTTCCTGCTATATCACATTGTAGGGCTTTAAACCTGGAGGATAGGTTTAAAGTGGATTTCAATGATAGTATAAAGGCTATCTTTGTATCGACAGAGACTAGGTGTAATGTACATTCGAAACGTTCAGTTTTAGTCGATATATAATCCAAACAGTAGGGAGTTGTAATCTTGTATTCTTACCTTTACACGCGTCTGACACTAACGCATCCATGAGCTCTTCAGCTTCAGTAGTCTGTATGTTTGATTCTTTTAAAATAATTCTGCACAGTCTTTCCGATACTCTAATCCAATAATGGCCATTCTCTCCTCGTGAACGATTAGTAGATTCTACAAGCAATGTGGTTAAGTTCACAGAAGCGTCCGATTCATTATGTTCTCCTGTTATTAACCGCCCGATAAGATTTTTAACACTAAACTGCATGCGTTGATTTTGCTGATTGACATATTCTATTGCTATTGAATTAACCTCCTCTAAAAAGGCTTTAAATCCATGAAAATTACTCTCCTCGACACTGGTTGCGTCCCATACATGCGGACTTTGTATATGAGAACCATATATGTCTGAAAATATGTGCATTAATAGTAATTCTAGTATAACAAAATGACGACTGGTAGTTGTATGTATCTCTGTAAGATCTTGTCCAAAGAAGAATTCGGAGACGCCGATGCTATTGATAATGTCTATCATAAACAACCCAACCCTTCCATATAGACTCAGTCCGTATATATCATATTGAATAGCCTTGATTGGTATGCCATCAGAAGAGGCTGCAGTAGTCGATGTTACTGCTATTGAATCATAAAGAATAGCCAGAGTTGAATCAACGGGTAATGAAACGAAGGAGAGACTGATATCTCGCCACTGCTGGTTGCTAATGAGAAGCTTTTCAACAAATCTCTGTTTGTAGGAGTGTTCGTTATCAAACAGATCCGTGATCAAGGTTGTTAGCCTGTGTGTAAAGTCTAGAGGGCTGTAATAGAGTGTCGCGGGTAAGTAATCGATTGAAAATATATAATCGTTCTTTTGCGTAGACACTTGCAACAGTATCTTTGAATATTACCTAGCCGCATATCGAATATCTAATAATGATGACAATATATTCTCACAAATAATGTCACCTAAAATTTCTTTCTGTTCCAACGCATGACAAGCTATGGTTGCACGTTTCCAAGATGATTTCGATAACTCAACCACCGTATTCACATATCCCTCATCTAACTGACCATGTGCTTTCATGAACAAAAGTTCATATATGTATGCAATGATTGACGCAGAATTTAATTCAAACAAAGACTTGACAAAGTTTTGGTCAGTATTCAACAGTGCACCGCAAATGCGCAGAATGGATATAGTAGTCGATTTCATCGACAATGGAATATCCTCGGACGTATAGTGTATCTTCGAGGAATTGGCAAGTACCATTGAGATGCGATTCAGGATATTTTGTCTGGTTTGCTTCGATATTATACACACTTTGTATAAATATATGAGGTATTAGTATTCTCAAGTAATCCTTTGTTTGTAATATAGCCATAAACTTACCATCAGATTTTAGAGAAGAAACTATAATACGCTCATATTCGATTAAGAGTGTTTCTTCGCCATCTTCTAATTCGGTGGTCACTTTTATTATGAATGCAGCGAGTTTGTCATTATATAACGCCTGCCTTAGTTTCGTCCCGTTGGTCTAAAAGTATTAGCATATTAAATGTTGATAATAATGTATTAGTGATACTAACGTCGAACGCTATATCCATTGCATATTATTACCTACTTTTAAACGTGACAGATAGACATGCAACAAACCTTATCAATGGCAAGTAGAAAACAATTCAATTTCCTTGTCGCGTCGTCCAACTGAATTATTACATCTACAAGTGCATTCCATGTCTGTAATGTCTGCTTATCATCACATTGCGCCAAATACAGTAAAAAAATGTCGAATAAATGATCCAAGACTGGTTCCGGTGCATTAAGCACGAGTCTATGAAAATCATCACTGATGAAAGTGTCAATAGCCTAAAAGCAGAAAAGGATGAATACACCGCATAATAAATGAGAATGATGTACAGAAAGTTTGACAGTTACGTCTTTTGTAAGTTGCCTTTCGAAGGTCGCTTGAGGAAAGCTTTTAATCAATCTAGAAGCAATTAAACTGAGCCCGAGTAGTTTCTCTAAAATGCATCGAATAATAATCAAGGATTAACATGTTGACTTCATAAATAATATAATAAACCGCTTTACATACCACTAATCTCCGTTGACTTGGACAACACAAGAGTAAATATCTTCTCGACAAAATCGTACACCTGTAATGTCAAGCATACTTAGATAAACAGTTAGCTTAATAAAAGGTCATAAATATAAAATAGACCATACTATTAAATGAACATCATTTCTGTCATTTCCGTCTTCCATAGTCTTCGTATCAATGCAATACAAAAGATCGGCCAATCTTTGGCAGATTTCACTGAAGTAGGCGCTGAAATCAAGTTCTTTACTTTCGTCCAAAGATGATCTGTTGATGCTAGCGTTAAATAAATATTCGATTTTTCCAAAAAGTGTTATTGCTGCATCTATTAAGAACATGCAAATATATAATTAGATTCATTCGTGTTCCAAATAACGCGCGCGACTGAGTCACTGACTTAGGGCAAACCTTTTGTATGTGTCCCTGTAATGAGTTTCACCATATTAGAAGCGACAGCGGAACAAAGCTGCTTCGACCGGAATTTGCCAGAAGACTATTACAACAAACGACAAAGTCAACAATAGTTAAATCTCGTACGTAATTCAATTATGTAAACAAGCGTACCTTAATATCAACAAGATACAATTCAATAATCCCAAAAAACTTTTCTTCTATCAACATTCTCAGAATATCAGCCTCATTATCCGTCTTACTATACAGAATATTAACTGTCAGCGTGACATCGTTGTCTGACTGAGAAGACCAATTATGACAACCTACTCACCTCATTTTTCTAATAAAAAATACAAGGCACTCACAATAAGCGCTTATGAACGTTCCGGAATTGGTATGACCAATAACTGTACCGGACAAACCCTTCCAGAAGTCGCCAAAAAACTCGTCATAAAACTTAGGTCTTGTAGCAATGATCTATGGTTGAAGTATACGTAGGACTTAACAGGCTACTTCTCGGAATATAATTATAGCATTGACATGTTGTATTTACTTGCGAAGGAAGACTGTCCACCAAAACAAGTAAACTTGGATAGGTGACATTAACGGAGCCATAGGCTCCGGCGCGAAGAAATGCGTAAAGCTTCGGTAGCATAGATTTTTTCTTACTGGCGATCATCCAACTCTGCGGGAACGCTTCGGTAAATCGAAGCAAATTATATATTGGATGTCAACCACAGTGACACGTACATACAAGTTAGGAGAGTAGGTTTCGTATAACCCATACCTTTAGTAAATACTAACAGAGATTCCCAGAGTTCACTGTGAATACTAGGATCTTTATCATTGAAGACTTTGCTTAAATATGCTGTGCTCAATAACTCCAATCGTTCTTCAATCTTCACTATGGATAATATGCTAGTTAGCCTTGTTCGAATATGAACCACACGAGTCAAAAAATTTCTTTCTTACATGGCCATTTAATCGTTAAAGTTTTTATCAAATGATAACATGACTTTCTTATTAATGAGCTTTCACATGATAGATTGGCCCATGTACGCGTATTGTCAAAAAGCGCGTTGTATTGTTGCAGACACTTTGACAAAACAGTCTCCTTCAAGCTGTCTGATAGGCCAGAAAGAAAATGAAATGAAATGAGTATAAGTGCAATAAAATAAAGGTAATAGATAAGAATAGAACCAACCTATGAGAAATGAAAGAGCATAATATGAACTCGACACGACCCTAGCGTACTTTGCGGCCATGTCTTCTTTTGATATAAACCTTGGGTCGCCTTCAAACACGTAAGAACATAAATGTAGTTTTAGTCAGAACTATAATGCTATCAATTCTATGAAGCTTAATGTTACGCTAAGGAATTCCATGAACACAGTAAAACGCAAACCACTATTGCACAACAAACACACTTAATGTTTCAGGAGCCTTATGTAAAATCACGTCGAGAATGAAATCCACAATTTCAGATTGACAGAATTGTAACACTTCGATTCGCTTTTCCTCCAGAAACACAGTCTATAAACGATGGGGTAGAGCCCATCAACGATATTCCCGTAAATCAGTATCCAACGCGATGTTGGGAAAACAATTGCTTCGCGACTCAAACCTCGAATGCCTCAGTTGCGATTTTGGAAACATCTTTGCTTTGATCAAATGACGATATGATCCAAACCGCTATAATCTCTTTTAGATGCGGAGCAAGCCGCTTTTTGGCTTTGGAAGCTATAAGGAGATGACATGTGCCTGTTGCATAACGTACACGCCGTTCTATATCTAGGGCAAGACGGACGTATAGTCTGGACTAAAGAAAAGGCGACGTTATCATGAATGGTTCAACGAAGGCGGATCAAGCACGCCAAAATCATAGCATAATCTCGCTATGAGTCATTGAATGATTATCTATCCGCG